TTATAATGACATGGTGTAACAGTTATACCCAACATTTACTCGGCACCTATGGAGCCCAACAACTAGGCACTTCTGGTTCTGAAAAGACTACATCAACAGGTTCCAACTGATTTATTCACGCCCAAGTAGGTTTTTCATGCTGGTCGCCCTTGCAACCCATTTTTCACAAGCTGAAAAAAAAAAAAGATTTCATTTGTTGATCGGTCGAATGTGTCCAAAAAAACATTACTCAAGTATAATATATATAAACTAGGGAGGGCTATAATAAAACATCAAAAATTAGAAAGAGTTTCATCGTAATTTTCCCAAAAAAAACAAAAATCTAAAAATTAAGTGGTCAATGCCGGTCAAAAAAGATTGACCATCCTAATTGGTAAACGAAAGATACGTGGACGTACGACACCGAGAAATCTGACCTCGTGCCAGAAGAACTTCTATTTCCACGGGCCTCTCTACCTCTAATAGAGAAGGAAGGACGTGAAACCAAGGAAAGAAAGAGAACCTGAGTTACGACTCCTCTCTCTCTCTTTCTCTCCCCCTACATATCCCCAACCCGCAAGACCACCAGCACCCCCAACCCATCAACCATGGCTTCTCTCAGATCTTTAATTTTCTTTCTGTTCTTCTTCTTCGTTCTTTCATCAGCCCTGGATATGTCCATCATCAGCTACGACCAAAACCACGGCCTGAAGACGCAAAGAACCGACGAGGAGGTCAAGGCGGTATACGAGTCGTGGCTGGTTAAACATGGAAAAGCGTACAATGCCATAGGAGAAATGGAGAAACGGTTCGAGATCTTCCAAGATAACTTGAAATTTATCGATGAACATAACGCTGAGAACAGGCCATACAAGGTTGGGTTGAATAAGTTTGCCGATCTGACCAATGAGGAGTACCGTTCCATGTTTGTTGGTGGGAGGTTGGGTAGGAAGCCCAGAGTTTCGAGGCCTAAGAGCGATCGTTATGCTTATCGGGGCGGTGAGGAGTTGCCGGAGAAGATTGATTGGAGAGAGAAAGGGGCTGTGGTTTCTGTCAAAGATCAAGGCCAGTGTGGTAAGTTTTGAATGTTGTTTGAATATATGCTTGTGTGAATTCTTTGTGTTTGATTATTTTACTGTTATGGGTATGGGAAAAGAAGACTTGAATGTGGGTGTGGGACCGAACATGTTTTTTCAATAGAGTTTGACGTGTGGGTCTTGATTCGATTGGACTCATTATGGGGCCTCCTGGATGTTTGTATGGAAAATTTTTCGGTGAGGAAAAAATTTTGGGTAAGAGATTTAATAATTTATAAATATCTCGAAACTTCTTCTACTTGTATTTAATTTCCAATGTTGGAGATGGAAGTTCTTGCATCCCCTCCGCCCCCCTCCCTGCGGCCCCCAAAAAAAAAACCATACATACACATACACACACCTGTTTGCTCCAGGAGGATAATTGTCTGTTTACTGTTCTTGAAATAGACTTTGCCTAAGTATCAAAATTTAGTACCATGCGACGAATTAGTGCTTCTATATGGTTTTCTCATGGGATTTCACATGTGGGTCTGTGGTACTTGGACCCATCATGGGGCACTCTTGGATGGTTCTGTTTGTTTGAATGGAAAATTTAAGGAAAAAGGTTTAGGTAAAAAATTTGAAATTAGCATATTAGAGCATCTCCGACCAACTATTTAAAATAGTTATTCAAAATATATTTAAATATTATATTATCCATTTTAACTAACATTTTTTTCAAATTCACTCCAACCACGCTATTTATTTTAACTAACCACTTTAACTAATTTTAACTAACTTTCAATAATAAAATTCAAAAAATAACAATTAATTATACATCGTATAAATTTAATCAATTATGGAGTACAAGAATAAATATTAATTTTTTTTAAAAGAAAGAAATTTTATTGATATGAATCAAAAAATTACAAAAATCAAAGAGCATCACAGCTTACAAAACTCAAGCAAATCAAAACATTACAAAATTGAAAATGGAAGTTGGCTTTAATCCTTCAAGAAGGCATAAATCCATCTCTATTGCTTCCAGAAAATCCACTTTCCCTCCTCAATACCAGAAGCTTCTTCTTCCTCAGCACAGGCAGTAAACTCTGATCTTGGTGCACCACCAACTTCCCATCCACAAGTAATGACCCAGAGGCAGTAAAGTCAACACAGCAACCTATTCGCACAGCATGAGAAGCCAGAAAATCAGCAAGGGCATTAGCTTCCCTATATATATGTCGAATCCTGACTTTAAGCCTCTTAAACAAACTCCAAATCTGATCTAAAATAGGCTTACACCTCCAAGGAACAGCTGCCTTTCCCAAAATCATCTGTACAAGCACTTGCGAATCAGATTCAATAAAAATTTGATAATCGCCCAGGCTGTATTGCAGAGCCAAGTTAATACCATCCAACAAAGCTTTGCACTCTGCTTGCATATTCGAACCTCTGTTGTAAAATGCAGCTGCAGCTGCATCCACATGTCCTTCTGGGTTTCTAATAACCATACCACCTCCTGACAGACCAGTTAATCCCTTAGCAGCACCATCAACATTGAGCTTCAAAGTACCAGCGGGGGGAGGCTCCCATATGATCCACATAGCCTTCGTCATAACAACATCTGCAGATCTAATTCTCAGGTCAGTAAATACCTCTTTTCCTTTAAAATCATCAGCACTCTTAGGCTTGATAGAGAAAACCAGAAAGCGCAGAGAACTTACTACCTGCATAAACACAGCATAAGAATTCAAATATCGCTCATCATGTCTCCTTCTACATCTTTCTTTCCACAAGGCCCAAAACAGTAAAAGAGGCACCCCTCTAATAAGACCATGACTCAACGATTGAGATTTAAAAATCCTGTTAAGCCTCAGAAACCTTGACGTAGGAGATTCTCCATCAATCAACTCAAACCCCATTACACCAGCTAGCCTCACCCATACTTCCTTAGCAAAATTACAGTCAATAAAGATATGAGTAAAATTCTCTTCCTACTCCAAACAGAGACTGCATCTGCTTACTAAAGAAACACCCAAACTGCGCACGCTAGAATCAATGGGCATAGCAACCCTGAGAATCTTCCAACCGCACAGTTGTGCACTTGGAGAGACCTTCTAAAACCAGATACATTTAGCTACAAGAGTAAATATCATAAAAGATGGGCTACAAAAGTAAAGATGACCTCAATGAGTTATGACCATCTTTCATAAAAATATTAGAGAACAAGTCCATACAGATGAACAAGTCCATCCGCTGCACACTCAAAGTGAAATTAACCAACAAGAAAAATCATTTACAAAGCCTAAGGCTCCGATTCAATCCTGTTCTAAGTAGTTCAAGGTCATTTGCTAGAAACAAAAGCAAATGAATCAAAAGGGTGACGAATTTCTTTCCCTCTGTTTCCACATTCACAACACCCATATGCTATCTTAACCAATTAATGGATCAATTACTACTAACAAGCAAAAAGATTCAAACAATAAGGCCCCATTTGGTTTCACTTAATCCAACATTTTCCATATTTTGTTTAAAAGAGCTTCTTCTTTATTTCCCCCTTGAAAAAAAGGCCAAGAAGCTACCAAGAAATTCGTGGATGTGGATGTGGGTAAAGAGAATGCAGCAGCATATTTGCAATGAAGGTTTTTGAGCAGCAACATTGTGGATGTGGGTATAAACTAAACAATGACAAAGGAAAAATGTAAAGAAATATTACCTTATTAAATCAGACAATGCTGTGAAGCCGAACGCGATCTATGATGAAGACGATGGATGAAGTCGAACACGATTTGTGATAAAGACGATTCTGGATGAAGACGATGCTGTGACGATCTGTGATGAAGACGATCTGAATAGCTAGTTTTTTCTCTCGCCAGATCCAACGAGCGTGTATAGCAAAATGGGTAATACCGAGTGTGATAGCTAGCCGGTTGGAGCCAAAATTTTTGTAAAATAACTAACAAGCTGAGTTTAGCTATCCCGTTGAAGATTCTCTTAGGGTTTAAAATTCAACTCCTGTCTTTATTAGAATTGTCAGCATTCTGTGATGTTGTCAAGGTCAGTATGTATTCATTCCTATGATTTAAAAAAAAAAAAAAATGGTAAAGACAGGCTACGTTTGGATTTGTTATGTTGCTTTTGTGGGTGAGCACAATAGTTTTGTTACAATGAAAAACATATGGAGATGTCAGAAGAATTGTCTTTTGATCTTCAACTATATTTCTTTTTTATGAAAAAGGGTAATTTTGTTTGTTGTTTTTGTTTTCTATAGAAGCATAAAAGTTCCATAAAATCAATATTTTAATCTAAAAACATATTTTGCTTCCTATAAATAGGAAAACAACTTTTTAAATTTATATGAACATGAGGTTAGCGGTTGAACTAATGGTCAACGCCCCGCTGTTGGAGTTTAAGGTTATAGATGTGAATCTCGTTGTCCCACTCCTTGTAATAGTGCTTTACCAAAAAAAAAAACAACCTCTCCGAACATGACCCTTTGTTTTTTTTGCTTTATTGATTGTTGAACGCGACATTGGACACTCAACAGGCTCCATTTTTGTATTGACAGCCATATCTTTACCCTATTAACTGTCTCGTGGCTTTTTTTTTTTTTCATAGTTGGCTTAGCGTCTGGTGTTATGCTTGTGTTTGTTTCTTAGGCTAGCTTAGGAGTTTTATTTGAGTGCGTGGTGTTTTTTTTTTTTAGGGGGGATGGGGGGTGGGGTAGGTCTCAGATTTTTGGATAGTTTAACATGCTATCAGTTTTGTGCTTTCTGCCAAAGGTCACACCTTGTCCTTGGACCAAGTTCAAGTATTGTTAGGATCTTGACCATTGCCAACTTCTTACAACACAAATTGTCTAAATTAGAAGAAGGCAATTGCACCTGTCATCCTTTATTTGATTGATTGATTGACTGACTGAATAACTCTGCTAAATTTATCGATTTCAAATGAAGGGAGTTGCTGGGCATTCTCAACGGTTGCTGCTGTGGAAGGAGTAAATCAGATAGCAACAGGTGAGTTAGTATCCTTATCAGAGCAGGAGCTGGTGGAATGTGATAAGTCTTATAACCAGGGATGCAATGGTGGTCTTATGGACTATGCCTTCCAATTCATCATCAACAATGGTGGAATTGATACTGAGAAAGATTACCCTTACAGAGGTCGTGATGGCAGATGTGATCAGAATAGAGTATGTGTTTTAGTTGAATCTGTAACCAAAAAAGATAATATATTTGATTTAGATGAATATCATTTCTTGTTGACTAGTCTAAATTACCTTGTGTTGTATGATTATCTTCTTTTATATTTTATCAGAAAAATGCTCGGGTTGTTTCCATCGATGGTTATGAAGATGTTCCGACAAATGATGAGAAGTCATTGAAGAAGGCTGTGGCAAATCAACCTGTTAGTGTCGCCATTGAAGCTGGGGGCAGAGCTTTTCAACATTACCAGTCGGTATGATCTTATCACAGATTGTTTTTTTCTCTTGGCACAGTGACATTCTAATTGGTTTTCCTTCCCTCGCTTAGTACACTACTATTTAGTCAATGAGCCCAGGTTAAGGTTCAAATTTCCCGGAGGGATTCTAAGGGAGGAAGGTAAAGTTTAAGATCTATCATTTGAAATGTAGCTACCCTTGGAATGGAGCAATCTTCATCAAAGTGGACGTTGATGGGAGACTAATGATAACTTCTTTTTTTAACATGCTCAAGATGACATTACTAGCTCAAGCATTGACTTCTATTTGAAATTTGAATTGTTCAGGGTGTTTTCACTGGACTGTGTGGAACGGACCTAGACCATGGAGTTGTTGCTGTTGGGTACGGTACCAAAGATGGGGTAGATTATTGGATTGTGAGGAACTCGTGGGGTCCCAACTGGGGAGAGAACGGGTACATCAGATTGGAGCGAAATGTGGCCAATACATCTACTGGGAAATGTGGGATTGCAATAGAGCCCTCATACCCTACCAAGAGCGGTCAGAATCCTCCTAACCCCGGTCCATCTCCTCCATCTCCAGCAAAGCCTTCCACGGTTTGTGATGACTACTACACTTGCCCTGAGGGAACCACTTGCTGCTGTGTATACGAGTATGGTAACTACTGCTTCGGTTGGGGATGCTGCCCCCTTGAATCTGCCACTTGCTGCGATGATCACTCAAGCTGCTGCCCCCATGACTATCCCATCTGTGACCTTGATGTTGGGACTTGCCTAATGGTAATTTAATCATATAAACTCTTTTACTATTTTTGGGGAAAGTCGTAACGTTTGTGAAGATGTTTATGGCTATATATTAGATTTCTCCTCTTGCTGATATTATCATCCAATGTAACAGAGCAAGAACAACCCAATGGGAGTAAAAGCGTTGAAGCAAAGTCCGGCTAGGTCAAACTGGGCTCGCCTGCATTCCAGCAGGAAGATCAGCAATGCTTGATGAGCACATTCGGTTTTTATGGGGTCTTGATGAGCACAATTTCAATTTTCCTGCTTGATTGTACAGCAAGGCCTTTTCACCCTGGATTTGCTGATTTCAAACATCAAGTTACATCATTGTACATAGCCTTCTCATATCTGCTTTGACTATTATTAACAAGAACAGAAACCCCTTTATACTCTAGCCCTTGGTGTGAACTTATAAAGAAAAATCGATTCTTATGAGTGTTAAGTTTCTTATACATGCCTTTTCTTTTCAATATCATGTTAACTTAAAAGAGAAAAAGGAAGCTCTTGCATGTGGGGAGTATACGAGGCAGTTAATCATTGAGATTGCCAGAGCGAATCCAAAAGCTCAAAAGGTCTAGGTCTCAGACGACTCTCCAGAGCAAATCATATACAAGCGAAAGCAATTGAATTGTTTGTCCCAATGATAGTCTTTCTGATCTTATTCGTATTTTGATCAGTATAATAGATATAACTCATTCCTATTTTCTTAATTTGCTTGTCCGGTAGGTGAAGTTCGGCAAAGCAGACATCATAGGTGATAGGTGAATCGCTCATTACCCTTCCAGTCACTGCTCTTATAACTCTTCTGAGAGGTCAAAGTTCTCCATTGGTCTTGTCTCTTGAAGAGAATTTGAAGCCATCCCTTCCAACCTGTTTTATCTGGCGACTTTAGAATCATATAATCCATGAATTTTGGGAAGTTATTTTTGGTAAAACATAAGGCTCATAAAGAGTTACAATAAATGTGCATTTGAAGTCATGGAGGTGAAATAATAATTGTTTGGCTAAATCATATTTAATTATGAAAATATTGTAATTGATCTTAAATAATCTTAATTAGTTATAACTTTATTTTTTAAAAGGTATAATTGGATCTTTAAAAGTAAAAAATATTATATGTATCGTAATATTTTAGGGTCGATGTCAAATTTATAATTAGTCCTTGAACCTTTGACTTTAATATCAATTTAGTTCCTGAACTTTCAATTATTCTAATTTAGTTCATCAATTATCAATTTCGTCTCAATTAAGTATTTTTATCAATTTTCACCGTTAGATCAAATGGGAATATATGATTTAATGGTGGAAATTGAATTTTGTCTCAATTTGATCTAACGGTAAAAATAATGGAAAGGACTTAATTGAGACGAAATTCATAATTGAGGGACTAAATTAAGACAATTTAAAGTTTAAGGACTAAATTGAAATCAAAAGCAAAATTCAAGTACTAATTATGTTTTTTACCTTATCTTATACAATCGTAACTTATACCTTAAAAACTAGAAACTTGACTTTGAAAAATTACAATTTTGGTGCAATACTGTAGTCTTCCTCAAAGTTTTAATTCCTAGGTCAATGAATTGCCTTCACCATGCCATTTCTTGTCAATAAATCACGATAATGTATTTCACATTTGGGAATTCCACAAGTTCCACCCTTATAGTCAATGCATTTAATTTTATTATATATAATAAAATTAAGTAATTATTTGATCAAATTAAGTTTAAATTTTAGTATAATTTGTTAAAACTTGACTTTAATTAAATTATTTGAATCCAATGATCAGATTACGAGCACAAAATGTTCAAAGTTAAAACCGAATTTGGATAAAATGAAATTCGGTTCAAATGCTGTAGGTTGATCGGATTACATCCTTTGATTAAAAATATCTTAATATGTATATTTTTTTTTACAGTGATCTTACATAGATCTAATTTGATAACCGAATTCTATTTAATATTAAGACTTACTATTAATCTAATAATAATTCAAAAATAAATTAGAGTAAAGTAGTATTACTCAAATGCTACCACCAAGTCTCAACGGAAGGCACTGTTGATGTGGATTTTTGCAAATTGGGAAAAAAAAAGAAAAAAGAATGAGCATAATAAAACTATCAAGGGCCAACATAGAATATATCGAAAGAACAGGACATTTTGGTAAATCTAGTAATTTCAACCCAGGGCTTATCTATCCTGTCCCTTTCATAGGCACGACAAAGAGGATAGAGAGAGAGGGGAGAAGAAGAAGAAGAAGAAGAAGAAGAAGAAGAAGAAAACGACGACAACCTAGACCAGAACCCACCGCGACCGTCGCTAGCGTCCCCTTCTCTTCCGTTGAGCTCCATCAGGTGTTTTTAAGCTCTACTTCCTCTCCTTTTTCGGTTTTCTATCGGTACACACTTCCATTCTTAGAGGTACTTATTGTATATTATATATATATATATAATATGTGTGTGTGTGTGTGTGTGTTTGTATGTATAAATTCTTGCCTATCAGTTACGAGACTGATGAGGATTGCAGATCGGAAAATGAATGGGTAGAATCTGCAAATTCAAATTTTTCGGGGTCTACAATTGGGTATAATTTTGCCACTACACCAATCGCATGAGCAATATGTGGTTTTTCAATGAATACATATAATGGTTTTGCTTCAGATCTTCGTATTTCTCTTATCACCCAAAAGGGTTTTGACTAACATCTAGCTTGAGATTACAATTTCATTGGAGACTCGATACATTGCATGATTTACACATTTATCTGATGCTATATTCTGAATTGTGCGTTTTCTGTGTAGCGCGATCAAGGGTGACATCTTTGTCACCCATGGTCAAAACACAATTGAATGTGAAATTAATTCGGTAGTCGCATGCTTCATGCAGTTGACATTGGAGTTAGCTTGCACTATATTTAATGAATGAGATTTAACCGATTTGCTGCTTCTACATTGAGATTCTGATGGATGTCCTTCCTTCGTATCTTGGTTGTTGGTTCATTACTTAGGTTTTAGTTGGGTACTCACTTCCTGTTGTGTAAGTGTGGATTCGATATCTTCTTGTTCTACTTGTAGCATATACGAGGATAACATAAATGACAAAGGTTTTGCACTTCTCCATGCTCTTTTGTTGTCTGACTAGTGTCATGATGACCCTATCTGCGAGGTCTTACACATTGCTGAAACAGCTACAACCTTTCTCACACAATTGTACATTCCCTTGTATGTGCTCTAGATTACTTATCTGCTGCAAAGGTTGGGTGTTTTGAAAAGGCTACGAATCAGTTTAGCTTGTGAAAGTTGAAAAATAATAGCCAAGGTATTAATCTGCTTTTCTATCATAATTTATTGGCATCTCTAGCGTAGTAATTTCATATATGCGCGATTATTTCAGTATGGTTGGTGATCCAAAAGAAATTGATTCTAGTTCAATCATTAGTGCTGCTTTGTTTCCTTCTTACTATCCTTCTTTTTGTCTTGCCTTTTTGGTTTGATGGAAGAAGAAGAGGGGGAGGGTGTAGTAGAAATTCATTGTTGATTTTAATTGGGAATAGGAGAAATAAAGAAGCTTCATCGATTTTGATGTTCTCCACTGCTTTTCATTTAAGTATATTTAGGTATTGTTATTTATAAATATAATTGTATGCATCTCTCTGTCTCTCACATCTAGTTCTTTATGGCGTGTTCTGATTTCTAGTAAATCTATTAGTGATATGCTTTAATTTTTTGTGATGTAGTTGTGATTGCAAGTCTTAGTGCAATCTTACATGCTCAGTTAAATACTTCTGTTGCAGGCTCCTGTTGAGGACTCTGAGGTGGCCAAATGGATTCGGGATCTACTGATTTATCAACAGCACCTTCTGTTAAAGCTCCAGCTGTACCAGCTCCTGCTGCAGTAGATGCTGGACCAGATACACAAGATGCACCATCTAGGCTATCTGCTTCTGGGATATCCACATGGGCCAAAAATTTGAAAATCCCCCAGTCATTGCAAGGCACCCATGATGAATCACCATCCGAGAATGCTGGAAAATCAGCTTTTGCTCGTTTTACTAGTGGGTTTGGATTGCGCTTGTCTCCCAAAGCTCCTCAGGTAAATGATGGTTCTGATGAAGCTTCCACAACGTCACAACCTGGTTTTATTGGAACGCTCACAAAGGGAATAGTGGACTCATCTAGGAGTGCAGCGAAGGCTGTCCAGGTCAAGGCTCGACATGTTGTATCACAAAATAAACGAAGATATCAGGTTTGGTGCTGTCGCAAGTCTCTTATAAGTATATATCATCATCATCATCGTCCTAGTTCTTTAACTTAGAAACTTTCATTCTGTCTTGTTCCTGTTTCGAAGGTGGTTCCTCATTAGATATTGCTGCTAGCTTTGCATTTCCCTTAATTATTTTTACGAATTTGTCATGGGTCAAGTAAGTAGTGCCTTTTATCCTTCTTGCCTTGAGTTCTTTCTTAATTTTACAAACTTCTTTCTTAGTGGAAGCACACGCATTATCCTTTTATTATATCACAGCAACTCATGTATAATCTCACATTCTCCAATTTTTTTTGGATAGGTAACGGCAAAGTGTTATTTAAGTGAATAAAAGAGAGTAGTACATAACAGGACAAGTAGTCCTCCAAAGATGCAAAGAGAAAGGAATAAAAGGAGAAACCTGAAACAGTTCCAAACAAATAACAATAAAACGAAAAAGCATAAAGCATAAAGCATTGAAGTTCTTGTATGATAGGCTGATAGCACTATTCACATACTTGAATTCAATAGTCTTTAGTTAAAAATAGTGTACAATATATACCATTTTTTCAAATAAGAAATGAATAGATGAAGAGAAGATTACAAAAAAAAACCACAATGGTGGACAAAAAGTCCAACCAACATGCCTAACAAAGAGAAGAAGAACAAAAATTGATACATATGAATCCATCTATGAAGCACACACAATTCTCCACTTCGGAAGATTACAAAACAAGGGAATATGCACAAGTTTCATAGGAACCAAAGCCCAAACTGATGCCAAGGACAAAATCCCTTGCCACAACCCATTCGCACTGTGTATCCATATCTACTTGGGTTGCAACCCCTGCTTATCTGAAAAAACGAATAAGGGAAGAGCCTTACAAACCAAGCCATGCTTCATAGATTATGGACTGCAATCTCATTACATGGACTCGACACCGGGAATAGGGTGTATGGGATAGTAGTTAATG